TAGTCGCGTGTATTCATGTGCGACTTCGTTCAGCATATAACTTCCAAACACGCTAATAACCAGATGCCCCAACAGCCGCTTAATCTGTTCGACGTGGCGTACCTGCCAACATGCCGTGGTTGGGCTAACGTCAGCGCCGTCCAGAACCCGTCCTTCCGCTTCCGGTCTCCATTCCCGCGGAGTGTTGGCGGGACGCCGGTGTACGAAGGTCTCCCGTTGCCGACTGCGTGTTGCCGGGCTGCGGTTCAACCCGAACGGATCGACGCTCCCGTCCCCGGGTTGACCGCACTGTTCCGACGGTCTCGATCGACTTCCGGTGGCAATTGATGAAGGGTCGCTCGCAATCCCCCGGAAGGCGGTGGCATCCCCTAAATTGGGTCGCCGGTGCCGGCGGATAAAGAGCTTGGTGTTGAACGGTTGGACTAAAAAGAACAGCAGGAAGATGCCGCGTACGGGATATCTGAAAAAGCTTGCCATGGATAGCAATGGTTTGCGCAAGGAGATCATTAAAAGTTATCTCTTAATGCTACGCAGTCAGAATGACATAGTAATTAGTACGGTATAAGCAAATGGCAGTGCAGATACCTACCTTTTGTGCGAGAAGAATATTTATGTAAAGGCCTACATTTTTTTCCCTGTAAGCGATACCTGTACAGTACATTGGCCACCGGCACGGCATCACAAGAAAGACTGCTGCAGCACCTAAGAATGGGTGATATCATTGGCGTCAGTGGTCCATGCGACGCAGTGACATGCAAAGCCGATCCGAATGTGCATATTAATTCCGCGAATAACGATATGCACCGACATTGTATATTATTTGGCTGTTGTGAGTATTGTCGTGCTCTGACGCGAGTACTTCGCGGTGTTATGGCCTCCATCGTAGGTCTAGTCGAATGAATTACCGTACTTTGCAAATTGAATTTTGTCCATGACAGTACCATCTGATTAATGAATTACTATGTAAGCCGAGCCGTTTTCGAAAGAACTAGCCGAATAAAGCAATCGCAGAGTATTGTACGGCTGCGCATGCATTATTACTAACGCGATAGCGAGTCGAGCCGGTACATGTGCCGTGCGTGTGTAATGAGAATGCGAATCGCGTACACCTTTGTGATTAAGTACATGAGTACATAAACAAAAATTCACCGATTTTCGGCATTTACATATATAGAAAGCTAATCTAATGATAACTATTACTTATGGTTTTTACACTGCACACTGTATCGGCATATGGCCCTTTGTGCAACTTGTGCTAAAACTTTAACGGTCGTTCTGGACCGAAACTGACAGGTTTAACATTTTACCTATGTTGCCCATTTATTGAATGAGTAACGTAAATGTGTGTAGTGTGTACGTAGTGTCCATAATTAGCGCTAATGCCCATATGTCATAAGTAATGTCCATAGTTAATAATGATATAATTAATGCCTACAATACAGTTATACGTAAATAATGTCTACATATAATGTCTTAAAATTATTGATCATAAAATGCGCGCTTTTTATAAATCGTTTAATATTATTACGATTTTTTATTAAATTTCTTAATATTTGATTTTTTTCCGATTTATTGTTTCGCTGCATATCTTATTTATTTTGTGCTGGTTGAGACACGCGAGAGGATCATTCTCAATTGTCAGTTTTAGATGTTTTAACTGAGTAATACCTTCATTATAGCACAGTGCTGAATCTTTTGCAGTAATTAAGCAAGTGGCTGGCGAAAGGTCAGTCAGGATCTCGGTTCCCGCTAGCTACCGGCAAGTTGCAGATTGCCTTACCAGCGCCCTAGCGTATCCAGGTAAACTAGAAAGCTAAAACCGGCACTGTTCACATACAGATACAGTTTGTATTGAATTACATATATCGACGCTTCCTGTTTCAGCGTTTCAGTCTTGAGATTTGCAGCGTGGAAATGCTCAAGGTGTTTTGGGTACCTTTCCTTTTCATATTAACTTAAGGGATTTGGCCCGGTACATAGTACCAAACGGGTTTTTCGCCTATGTATACGAATCCTTTGGCTACAAAATATCATAAAGAAATGCAGAAAAGTGTTTGGGAGAGTGCGACAGCGAAAGTTGCCGTGGATGTATACAAATTTGGCGCTATGTACCGGGCCAAATCCCTTAAGGGATTTTTCATTTAGACGATGGTGGTTAAAGGTGCTGCCGTGGTATAACATTGCTGATTAAAGTTATATTCTTGAATTGCACCAATGTAATACTACGAGTACTGTACATACAATGCTTCGGTATTTCTAATATCTCGATCAATTCAAGCGTACGTTCTCGTATTTGGTTACCGGGTGTTAAAATTTCCTAACAAACAAAAATACCAGAAATGCATAGGTTTCAGAGTAAAAACCTCGCTCATGAATTTCGAAGCATGAACCCAAAAAAATTATTCCGTAAATAACAAAACGAAGAACAGAAATCGGGCGAGAACGGCTCTTCCACGTTTGCAAATTTCATAAATTTTTAATTCCAACAGTTTAAGTTTTGTTTTATTGACTACAGACCAGTGAAAAAAACACGTTGTGCGATCAGCAGCTATTCAGGTAGCGCGCCACGTACGTGGGTGGTGGTCTTAGTGACCAGCGACCAAAATATGAAACCGTGTACTTAAAGTGATTGAAATATGAGAAAAATCGAAGTATCAATCAAGATTTTCTCCAAAGATATCAGCCAAATACCTGTATAATCAGCTGCGGCATATTAAACTGCACGGCATTACTGTCGCAGTTGCAGCTTGGCCGCGGCCAGAGAAAGAAACTCGCACGACGAGCGGACGAACGTGCGCCACTGCGCGGCGGTCAATGCAGCGCTGTTTCCTATTCACTGTATTCAGCGCGCACTTGAAAACTTCAGTGCGAGCGCGCTACACGCTAACCCTGACTGTGTGGGTGAACGGCGTCCAAACACCGCAAAAATATGCAACGAACGCTGCGCGCGTATTTCGCGTTATGCACCACTGGTCCCGCCTCCGCGGCGTCCGGCAGGCTAATTACGGTTTTAAAATGATTTTTTAATGCGCTGCATTCATAGTCATTGGCCGGTGTAGCGCAGCGGGCGGTTAATTTACTTTCCCGCTAATTAATGCAGTATGAGTGTTAATATCAGAAAAATATAGGTCAACTTACTCATTAACCCGGACACTATCGCACTTCCATATAAAACCCTTACGCCGGCTTTTAAAATTGCGCTATTACATAATTTACACTCCATTGCATTTTCTTGGGCTGCATTTTCCTGTTTAACGGTTGATATATTAATTTAATTTATTTATTGAATTTATCTTGGAGCACTTTTTTTTACAGTAATTAATTTTGGGATTCCAAGGGTTTTGTTACGCAATTGCGGGAACAGCGTATCCATAAAAATGTCGTATACAACGGTGAAGAATTTCGTCCTGATCCTCATGTTCTCCGCCGTCCACTCGCGGCCGGCCCGTTCCCGACGGCAGGTGGGATTGATGGGTGGCGCCATGGGGGCCATGGGAATGGGCGGAATGGGAGGGATGGGTGGAATGGGAGGGATGGGTGGAATGGGCGGGATGGGAGCACCCCCGATGCCCGGTATCCCCGGCGCCGGAGGGAGCGGGGGCATGAACAGCGGTAAGAATACTTTTCTTGAATGTACTTAATTCAATTTCGTGGGTGATGACGGCTTAGAACAATCGAAGACCTTGGTAACTGGAACGGAGAAGAGTTCCCTGTGAGCATTTGAACATGGGTCAGTCGATCATAAGGTATCTGTGTAAGCCGTTCAGAAGCGATGTGGATAGTACTTTCGGCCATGATTGGCCTCGGCTAGCTGTAACGAGCACTGCCTTATTTATAACGAAACCAAATTAAATAATACTATGAACGGAATATATATTATGATATAGATATTTATTTCACAGGTATGGCTGATATCGGAATTAACTTCGACGATTTCAAGGACGTAAGCAAAGTCAGCGAATTCCCCGGTAAGATAGCTACCCAGCTAAACCGATCCATGAATAGCAAAAGGTCACATGTTGATTAATGTGCGACAGGCATTAAGGATGTCAGCAACATGGCCGGCACGGGCGGTAGCAGCTTCGACAGTACGTTGTTCTGCCTCATTGACGATTCCCAACCGCGGTAATACCGTTTTCTTATGCCAGGTGTCGGTGCCGCTAGCGGCTTCGGCCAGACGAGCATGGCGGAAGTGGGCGCCAACACCATGTGGAAGGATTTCCAGGATATAATTAAATCCGTCGGCGGTTAGTGTCATTTCTGCATATTATTCTGCCTGCGTGCTGAGTCTAAGAAATCTAAGAAGCCTAAGAAACAGCCGAATTGATGTACCCTGTTGCAGCGGTCCGCACGCCGAGTCTGGAGACGATCGGGATCAAGATGTCGGACTTCCCCAGTCCGTCCGACTTCCAGCAGACCGGACAGTCGTCGGCGGCCGCCCCCATGATCAACAAGCAGGTCTCGGCCGGCTTCCACGTATGAACCGTGCTAAACACAGTATTACTGCAGTAAACTGCGAGCCGACTGATCCGGCTCGTTTCATTATAATTTCCGTCTTGCCAATGTTAACGTTGCACTGTTGTACAGTACAATTTTTCGTCACACTGCGCTCTCTTGTTTGTTTTACCTTCCGACGTGATTAACCAAAGAATTAATATGAACCGACAATAATTTTTATTGTACAGTGATTAATAATAATACAATAACGTAATGTATGTACATTAGTTTTAGTAATGTACTAATCGTAAAAGTAATTTACTGTAATGTACTGTAAGGCATAATCACAGTTTTATACGTAATAGTAATGTACAGTGTATAATATGTACATTACTTTTACAAGTTAGTACAGTAATGTAATGTATAGGTACAGTGTGTACATGCGAGGTCCAGATTTTCTAAACATTCAGTAATTAATTTCTCGATATCTAAATGTTTGGATACCTAATCATCTAAATATATTTTCACTCGGCCCAGAAAGAAAAGCTAAACGGCTCACAAAAATATTTATAACTGGCCGAACATAGCTGGGTACAGCTGCGCTTTTCTGCTTTTTAATTTTTTCGAGATATTTCTCCGCTAGGTTCTTTGGGTTGGGCTCCAATTTTTTGCGTTTTTAGGTTTTAAAATATTTTTTGCGTTTTCAGGTTTTTAAAATATTATCAAGTGCTGTATATTTTGTGGTTTTCTTTATTCTTCCATACCTCGAACACAACTGGTCGCGCGCTAGCGCGACCAATACTTGTAAAACTAACTGGTAAGTCAAAACGAATATCATCTATACCGGTAATTTTTTGTATTATAAACGTACATATAATTGCGGCGCACGCGTTAAAACGAAGTGCATGGGTACATGCAAAGTAATTTTAATAATGGGTGTGCATAACATCCTTAATAATAAAAGATTAAGAGGGGGTGCGGCCAGTGTGTTTGCGCTCCTCCTACGGACGATGTACTAGGCTAATCTCTGCTCTCTATATATCGTTTAATAGCCCTTATTCGGTAGAAGTGCACAATGTGAATCTAATTTGAAAAATAAATAAGTTTCCGAAGAAAATTTGGAAAACCCTACTATGCAACGTCTACGGAACACAGCGGCAACAGAGAAAAGAGAAATCATTAATTTTCTCAACTAGCTGCTGTTACGTAGCTGGCTCCCGAACCGGGATGCTCAATGTGAACGTAACAACCCAACCATGGGCTGGCGCAGTACGTACTGTCATGTGAAGTCATTATTCTACGGAGTGTGATGAACACAGGCAGTCAGGCACCATTTACTTTATATTGGCAATTTTTCACACTATTTTGCAAACCCAAAACCCTTTTTTGTTCTATGTATAATGTGCGTACTGTGTGGTTAATAAGGTTATATTATTATTGTAAGTGCTCTCCCATTGTTTACTTAATTTTTATTCATAACCGATTGATTGTGCATACCTAATTTTAGTAGCGGCTAGAATTACTTCACAAGGCATTGGTAATTGCCCCTCTGATCTCTATTGAGTCGAAGGCAGAGCCGAAAGCGACGCCAAGCAAGCGAGTCGCTGCATAAGGGTTCTGAAAAGTTGGAATTTCCTGGGTAACAGCTGAAAACTGAAGTGTAAGTAGGTAAGCAAACCATTTTAAAAGTCTACCACAAAAACAAGCCGAAACTCACCGCAAGTCGTAAATCGGCTCTACTTTCATTATATTTTCGGGTTCTTATTCTGTAAATTACATAGACGTGAAGTGAAAAACAATTTATAAAGGTTAAAAATTAAATAACGCCGGTAATCAAACGCATATTTTGTACAGGAGCAGATTTAATAATAAGCGATTTTAAAACCAGGTTACAATTAATAGAATAGTTTTGGGGTCGATTTAGCCATAATAAATAAAAGTAAGCTCGGGAAAAACTTTTAACCTTAATTATTTAACCTATTTTTTCCGCGCAATTTGCGCGGGTTCAACTAGTTATTAATAAAAGTAAACTCGGGAAAAACTTTTAACCTTAATTATTTAGCCTATTTTTTCCGCGCAATTTGCGCGGGTTCAACTAGTCCAAGAATAAAAATCACACGAATAACCGAAAGCAAGAAAACTACCTTTCCGCAAGTCATACATGGCCAAATCACAACAAGAACGTTTCCTCTATACAAGAACATTTCCTCTATACTGCCTTTCTCGCGAATAAAAATTTTATAGGCACTTAGTGTGATCAGTACCTGCACCTTTTAATCACTAAATAGTAATTTACCAAAAAAATGGATTTTTTTTTCAAACAGTTGCAAATCTTTTCTAAGCTCGACTTATTTTGAAATGATTTGATTTGAAGCTTGAAATATGAAACTTTTGAAATTGTGATAGCACTACAAAACAATGTTATTACGTAATAATAAACGATACCATTCGTGCTCCAAGATTAATTTTATGGCTGCGGCATTGTTACTCTGAGGAAGTTTCTACGTGTTGCGATAACATTACAGTAATCTTCTGATTTCTGAATAACTGAGACATAGATAACCGATAAACACTCAAATTCCGCGACCATAAACCGTATCCGGCATTCAGTACAAATCCACACAGAGAACGACGCATGTGAGTTCCGTCGCCGTCCTTCCATTTCCACCGTCACAGCACGGACCAATCGGTGGGAAACCGCCAACCCACCCATTGGAAATGGAAGTAGTGCAATGTGACGTCACGCACTGAGTCACGCCGCGCCGTCGCCGCTGCCACACGACTGGGTAATCGCCCGCCGCGCATGACTTGCTATTCCGGGGTTTTGTGCGGCGGTTTTTTTCCTCCGCGGTTGGTGCTTGTCGCATGCGTCCACGCCACATTCCCGCCGCACACATGATACACCGCGCCACCCTTGACAAAAACTCCCGCAGCCTGTTTTTCCATTAGCAGCGCAACCGCTCCACTCCTTGTACAGGCTGTATTCTGCATGCTGTCTGGCGCCTATATCAGTATAGCCGTGGCGACACTGCGCAGAGAGAGTGGTACACACTGAACAGAGAGACTGCGTATATCCGTATTCAAGTACGCCAGCCATTCCAGTCAGCTGAAACGGCTGTACACACACACACACGTACATCATACAGTTCTTTACCAGGAATCGAGCGCAGGCTTGTTTAGGGTTTCTGCATGCTGGTTTCTAACGCACTGGTCGACTCAAGAGCCCGCTGTATGAGCACTGTACTATACATACATCGCACTCCATTGATCAGCGATTCCGCGAAAAGCGCTGCCACACCGCATGTGCATGCTGCATGCTGTATACACAGTCTTTTCTGCACATTGCTGATTTAACAGCGAAATTATTAAATTTTCATCTTCCCGTGATTAATCATCCCGTCCTTGTTGATCCCGTTTAATCATTTCTCAGTCCCTTGCCGTTGTCGCCACGCCAGCAACACTGTGTTGGATGTTCGTTGATTTAAAATTCCCGTTGTATCGGATTGGTGTGCTTGTTAATGTTCCCTGGTTGAAAAATGAGCTGGCGCCGCAAAGGTCTCCTGCGCCATTCCCAATCCGCCGACCCCACGGGGGACGCCCCCTCCACCCGCCCCCCTCCGGGCGTCCACGTCAATCTCGACGTCCGCTACGAGGAGAACGCCGAGGAAATGGACTGGAACACGACCACCGCCCCCGGGGGGCGCCCCCCGGCCCCGCCGACCTACCGCCCGCTGTACTGGGGCACGGGCGAGGAGGAGACGGTGATTAAGCGGGAGGAGGGCCTCCCGCCCGTCGGCGCCGCTTATAACCCGCGGAAACGCCTGATGAAGATGGACGATCCCGCCTTCCTGCCGCCGCCCTTCGCCGCCCCCTCCGCCGAGGAGGACGAGGCGCGGGCGGCGGCCGCGGCGGTGCTGGCCAGCCGGCTGCAGTCGGAGGTGCTGGTGTACCCGCCCACGGTGTCCGTGACGCCCGGGATGACGTCGGGACTGTTCCGCTACGTGGCCAGTGGCGCGTCGGAGGCGGTGCGGATGGCGGCGATGGGGGGCGGGGGCGGGGTGCCGGCGGAGAAGCGCGGGGAGTTTATGGTGCCGCGCGACCGGCCCGCGCCCGCCGTGGATCCCGTGCCGGTGCGCTCGGCTAGCTGGTCGGTGCGGCAGGATCTCAGCGAGTATATGGCCGCTGCTTCAGGTATGTCCCCGATTTTTTGCCCGTTTTTCTTATATTTGGTTGTATTTTCTGGGATTTTGCTTCTATTTTTTTCTGAATTTTTATTGGATTTTTTCCCCAATTTTCTTAGAATTTTTGTTCTCCTGTTTGCATTTTACTGGATTTATTTCAGATTATTTCGGGTTTTGTTTCTGCGTAACTTACATTATTTCTGCCGTTTCATAGACAAAATTTTTTGGGTTTTAATTCCGCGGTTTGTGATTTTATGATGGTTTATTTTTCTTAGTTTTGGTGAAAATTATTATCGTTTTTTGAATAATTTTTTCTATTCACCCAAGTAAGACTGAGTTATTTTCTTTTACTTTCAAGCAAATTTGTTTCAGTAAGTTTGATGTTTTTTACTTAACGTTTTTCGAATTATTCTGAACTTTTGTTAAACAGATTTCGAAATATTTTTCACGTTCTGTTTCGAAATATTTTGAATTGTTTTTAATATTTATTTGGAGAATCTGTATGTGTTGAATGTGTATTTGGAGTACCTGGAACTGTTTTGATTACAGAGCGTTCTGGTTAATTTTCTTCCGGTAATCTGCTCCGCAAAATTGTCCAGTTTTTCCGGAATTTTCTTGTGCAATTTTCCCCCAGTGTTGCGCATTAAATGATAATGTTTCCGTCGTTAAAACCCAATATTTCGGTAATTTCTTACATCATCCCGTTGTTCCGTTCGATAAATCGATCCGCAGCAGCGAATCCCTCGGGGATTTGTTCAGCGAGTTGAACGGCGCGCGGAAGTAGGGCATTTTTTCCTCTTCGTGTCTGGTTTTGAGCAGCGGAATGATGATGCCTAACAATGACCTTGACAGAGTTAATTTAATTGCGTGTACTGTGTGTACAGGTGCAGCCGTTGCACAGTTTATAGGATTGCATATGCGAGGCCGTTTCAGAATGAACGGTTTCTCCGAATAGCCGCGGTAGAGTGTGTGTGAGCGTACTAATTTATTTTGGCCGATAATATGATGATATCGGCTCACTGCATTGGCCGATATCGGCTGTGATATTGCAGCTGTGTACATGTATGATACAGCCGCTGCGCAGCGTATGAGCGCGGATGATGCCGCGTTGAACACTATGACGTCACTTTGCTCCATATCGCTTATTACACAGTGCGTCTGGCGTGTCGTTCTCTCAAGATATTCACGGTTATTATTTACTTCCGCGAATAAACATAAATTAATTAAAATAAATGATTGATAAATTCAAAATTTTTTTCAGTTATGAAATTAAGTGGAATTGCTGATTTTCCTTAACATAAAACAAAGTTGCTCTTTGTTTGGCCCGCTCACTGGGCAGTGATTTAATGTGAACTGGGTCATCAGTTTTAAAAGCACAAATTGTATTATAAAGATTACTTGTCAACGCATTAGGCTGGAAATTTTGCTCTCGCTATATTTTTTGTCGCTTTCAGGGACATAGCTCCTAATGCAGCCGAGTGATTTCCTTCAGAGTAATTTGTATTGATATCGAAATCGTTTTTTTTTTGCCGAAAATTTATATTTCACGGAAATCTCCGAACTGGAAATTTAAAATGGAATAAATTCAGAGACTCCAGGCACTTGAAAAGTTGAAGCTATTGCAACCACTCAGTGTGGCAGGAGTGTGCGAATTTATCGTGAAAGTTGAAGAAAACAATTCCCACTCTCTTTCTGTGTAATTTTTAGTTTTTCGCCAAACAGAAATAATGTTTTTTAGCTTCGCAATTTCTGTTCGAATAACAAAAATATATCACAAGAAATTATTTATTAACAAACTTGGAAAAAAAGAATTACTATGATTTATTGTGAATCAGGCTGAGAAGATAATGCGCTCGCTTCTAACCAGATTGATGCAAAACCGACCGATTTGTGTTTAACAGAAGTACGGCGTTGATCGAACGTGAAATAATGCCAGTTTATTATGTGTGCCAAATTGTCGCAGCGGTAAAATTTGGCCAGAAATTGCTACGCAGCGTTGGCGCAGCGATTTCTGTCACTTGAAAAACTGGCAACATTTTGCCGACGTGGTACCGGCAAACTGGCGGCAATTAAATGACGCAGGCCGGGCGTTTCCCGAGTGTGAATGTGCTTCAGCAGGCGGAAAATACTGTCGGGGCTGGTCCGTAGGTTTTCGCTTAGCGCCGGTGAATTTTTCATACCCGGTTGCAAAGCGGGAGAAATCATTCTACCAGCGAGCGGCCCCGCGCGTTTACACGGTGGAAAATTCGAGAAAACTGCCACGGTGAGAAAAATCCGCGTCGCACGTGATGCTGACGCAACCGCCGTGAGCAGACACCGAGAGTAGGCTAGTTTCGCGTGACGTCATGGGCGCCGCGCAAGAGGCTTTTCGGCGGTGTTGTGATGGGATGTTTTGCAATTTTACGGGAAAGCGTAGGTTGCGAGGAATTGCAGCCGGCAGTTGGTGACGCCACGGCATAATGTTCAGCGTGTTTTTTTAATTTCCGGGCGGCAGTAAATAAGGGGATTACTGGGCGCGCGCGGCAAGAGGTTTACATGGAGAAATTATTTCGGCTTATGCGGTTCAATGGATGCCTTGTCTCACCAAGCACGCACCGCGTGTCTCGGGTGCAACGTCTTTTTCGACAATTTCGTCAACAATTTTGTCACTGGCAAAATTTGTGTGCTGGAAGACATTTACAAGGATTCTGTTCAATTAAGGATAGTGCTTTACTGACCCTGCTTTTAATCGTTCGGAATTTTTTTATTACGGGTTGGAATTTATTTCATAGATTCATCTAAACCCGTTCACAGATTTTATTTATTATCATTTTTCTTTATTTCGAAAATTTTGTAGATAATGATTGATGTGAACGGGAAAACACATAAATTCCAGAAAAATAATTTCTTTAAAATTGCTATTCGTAGTTCCAGCGACAATTACAGTACAGTGGGAGATTAATGATAACCATGTCATAGATAATAATGACCGGTATTTCTGGCTGTGCCAGTTTATATATTGCGCGAGATACAGGTGCCATTTACCGTTCAAACATTTCAGATTTCTGGCTTTCAATCAAATCATTTCAAACTTGAAATGGAAAACATCTTTTTTGAATTTCTTATTTTATTTGCAGTTATTTTGAAACGGTCGAAAACTGTTGATGTTTAATCCTCCTTATGTAGCAGTAATGCTGGTTATTTTCAGTTTGTTATTTATTTAGTCTGAACTTTAAAGAATCGGTCATGCCGCATTTGTTTATTTTAAGTCACCTTCCCTCTCAGTTGCCCGGGAAATATTTTCAACCCTATTGGAAACCCCACCGGGAATTATTCCGTCTATTTATTCAGTGAATAATCATAGAAGTATTATTCATTAAAATAAGAGGGACAAGATAACCAGCGATGCGGCCGATTGCCGATTTCTTTCGCAGAAGATCAGCGATCGGAAGCACGGCTAAATAGGGTGGCAATAACATTAGCCGGCCGCGTGTTCGCTGTATTTAGTGAGACAAGCACATCCGCTTGGCACCGGCATCTACCTGCCGTTGTTCCCTTTCATCGGCGCGGTGCGTTGAGCCGGCCCTCTGACAGCCTATTGATCAGCAGAACACTGCGGCTCAGATTATTCCGCTGCTGTTTAGTGTTTTCCAATGACGGTGCGGTGTGTGTGCCTCCATGGTATGAGCGCCCGCGGGCTTGTTTATTGCACCGTGTGCCGCGCCGAATAAGGGCGCAGTACCGGCTTTCCAATTTAAATTCTATTAACAACCTCGGCACCAACAAATAAACAGCTTGAAGAAATAAAGAAAGTAAAAAAGAATTCTGATTACTAACTATAAACCAGTAGTCTGAGTATTTAATCGACGTATTTTATTAAGTGTAGCTTAGTTTTAGTAAATATCGTTTTAATAAAAAATTGGATTTATATTTAAATATAGCGATAAATATAGTATAATAAACATAATCTGGTTTTAATAAGTATATTTGTTAATAAATATAATTATATGTTCTAAAAAACTAATAATCAATATGAGATAGTCTTAATAAATGTATGTGTTTTAATAAATATATATGTTTTAACAAATATAGCTTATTAAATATCGTTTTAATAAAGAATTCCGCTTGCTAATTACGAACCAACAGAACCGTTTAATTGAGTATTTACTCGATTTGTTTTAATGATTATCGCTAAAAAGGTATTTGAAAAAAGGCGCAGGGCTTATGGAACACGTAAACTGGCATTAAATCCGATCGATTTCTGTATCTATTTATTTGATAATAATTCGAGAAAATGAATTTTTCATATTCGACCGTTGCAAAATTCTCGAAGCCCGGTTTGCTTTTGAAGGTTGAAATGTGAAACGCTTGAAATTGTGGCGCGTTCTTATATAAAAATAATCATCTAGTAATCATAATATTATAGTACTAGATTTTGCCGGTCACTGATTTCCCGGCATTTACCCAGGAATTAGTCCCGTGCCGGTATTCTGGCAAAATTCCTATTACATCAGTTACGCGTGATTATCCCAAGTACGGGCACGTTCCGACGACGCCTAGCCGCTAATGATTCGAAATCACTATAATTACGCTGTATGGGATAACGATAACGAGAGATAGTGCGTCAGCTGATATACGGTGTAATTGTGTTGATGGACAGCCGCCGCACGTGACCGCTCCAAGACCCACCCGCAGATCGTCAAGCGGCCGCGCGTGGCCGGCGCCACCGGCGTCCAGGAGTCGGTCATCCAGTCGACGGGCGGCCGCCCCGGTGCGGGCGGCCTTCTGCCGGATTACGTCCTGGCCACGCCCGGCTCCCCCTCCTCCAGCCTCTCCACCTCCAGCGTGGGGCGCCGCGGCGGCGCCACCGTCTACCGCAATACCGGCATGGATTCCGGCGGTGCGTAGTTGACGATGGAATTATTTCGAGAAATCATGAGAAAACGGGAAAATATAAGAAAGCATAAGAAAACATAAGAAATGGGAGAAAAATCAGTATAAATTTTTAGGATAGCCTGTGTATTTTAAGTCTACAAAATATTTTTTTAAAAAATGAACCACTTAGAATATTCTGCATGGCTACTTCTACAAAACTAGACAGTTAAGTAAAAAAATATTTTCAAAATAATTAAGTTTGTTACTAAATAATTGTTTTCAGAACAATTTAAAATTTGAAGATACATTTTATAAAATCAAGAAAACAACTAAGAAATAAATGTTAGTAAGAAAATGTGTTGGAAATGTTAATAAAATTTTATAAAATCTAAAAAACAATTAACAAATAAAATCGTAATAATAAAATGTTTTGGAAACGATAATAAAATTTTATAAAATCAAGAAGACAATTTAAAAAAAATGTTAATAGTAAAATGTTTTGGAAATGCTAATAAAATTTTTTTAAAATCAAGAAAACAGTTAACAAATAAATTTTAATAATAAAATGTTTTGAAAATTTTATTAAAATTTTAAAAAATCAGGAAAACATTTGAGAAATAAATGGTGATAACAAAATGTTTTGGAAAGGGTAATAAAATTTTATAAAATCAAGAAAGCAATTTTGAAATAAATCTTAAATGTTAAACTGTTTTAAAATTAATAATAAAATGTTATCCAAACGTTTGTTTAGATTTTTTATAAATTTAATTTAACAATTAATCTAATTTTGGGAACAGGATGCGGTGCAGAGCAGGAAGAGATGGAGAGCGAGCCGGAGTACAGCACCCTGGTGCATCCCTCAGTGGAGCTGCTGTCGCGCATGTCCTCGACGACGTCCACCTCCTCCTTCTCCAGTCCGCGGCCGCTGCACTACGCCCAGTCCACCTCGACGTCGCTGCCGCGCTACACGCGCCAGCCGCAGCCCCACCTGGAGCTGGACGAGGCCGGCGGCGAGCGCGACTGCCTGTCGCCGGTGCTGTCCGACTACGGCGGCGCCTCCGCCTCCGCCCATCCCCGCATGGAGTCCATCAAGGTGGAGGCCGGCACGCGCCGCCCCTCCTCCTGCCCCAACAACCCCGCCTCGCCACATTCCCCGGTACGCAAACAAATCGCCGCATGCGGAATTGTATTATATAATATTCTAAAATAATAGTTAATAAGAATACAAGACAGAAACATTTCGAAAAAAATGATACATAATTTCAATAATAATTTAAAAAGGAAGAATTATTAATAATACCAAATGAAATTAAAAAGGCAACATTAAATTACTGGCAGTATTTAAAGAACAGCCGAAGAAAATTCAGCTAAGCATAAAACGGTATTCATGGACGTTAATAAATTGAATAATATTAATTATATTAAATCAGTATCTGTAATATTTTCGCAAAAATAGCCGAAAAATTCGGCCATACATAAATCGTCTGTAGTAGATTAATTAAATGCTGTATAATAAATTATTCTTTCATATTATTTAAATTATACTAAATAAATTTAGAAATAAAGTAAATATATTGAGGAATAGAAACAACAAAATAATTATAATTCCTGCCTGAACAAAAATAGCCGAAGAAATCATCCATGAATACTTCTATAACGGTAAATAAATACTATTGAATATATTACAATATGATTATAATAAATTATTTATTGTTGTCTAAATTATAATAAATAAATTCACCGAAACGTTAGATTGAATAATAACTAATTTAGATTACAATTCTTGTACAAATAATCGCCAAAGAAATCAGCCCGAATAAAACGGTAATTTATGGATGCTTGCAGTTATTGCGCACAGCCAGCGTGTACGACACCCTCTCCCCCGGTGGCGGGGGCGGGGAGCGGCCCCGTAGCCGCCTCCTGGAGTCCACCTCGTCCCCGCACCGCCGCCCACCCGACCACCCCTACTGGACGGCCTCCGCCACGGGGGGCGGCCGGCCGACCACCTCCGGCGGCGAGGAGGTGTGGGAGACCAGCGTCACCACTAGCAGCCCGCGCCCGCCTTCGGGCGGCGGCGCCACCCCGCGGAATTCCAGTGAGAAGGAGGCGTACATCGCCATCGACCACCAGGCGGAGGAGGACGGCAGTATGCCGCTGCACATTGACGTGCAGGCGCAGGACGGCTCGGGGATCTGTCTGAAGATTATCCGGCAGCCGGAGAGTCATTATCGGCCGCGGTATCAGAAGGAGGGGAGTCGCGGGTGTGTCAAGGATAGCACGGGACGCTTCCCGCTGTCCGTGCAGGTGCGGTGATTTTTAATTAGCAGTTTAATTTTTATTTAGAATTTTTACGATTTGTTTCCTGCGAATTTATGAAGGAATTTTTAATTACGAACTGAAATGATTTATTTAGAAATTTACGAAATTCCTTTTGTGAATTTTAGGAAGGCACAGTATTTTTACTTATGCAATTATGTTTTATTAGATTTTTTAATTTTACGAATTGTTTCTTGGAATTTAAGAAGACATTTATGATTGAGATTTTATGTTTTATTTAGTAATTTTACAAACCCTTGTTAGTGAATTTAATAAACGTATTGTTTTACGAATTTATCTTTTATTTAGCTGTTTTACGAGTTTGTTTGTGAATTTCCGTAGATACTGTTTATTGGCGAATTTAAGTTTTATTTCGAATTTTTACGATTTTTTTTCGGATTTAACAAGTATTTGTAATTACGCGGGTTTATTATTTATAAGTTCACGAATATGTTTTTCATATGTTTTTCTGAATTTCTCTACTTAATAATTTTCAGAATTTTTTTTACAAATTTAGAAAGCTATTTTTAATTGGGAATTTACGAATTTTTATTTTTTCTCCCGTATTAACAGTGGATTTATTAGTGATTTTTAAATAGGTTTTCAGGTCAACGCTTTACAGTGTTAGCTCTTCGATAACGAATTAACGCTAGTAATTTATGAGTTTGGTTGCGATTTTTTTGGTTGACAGTATTTCGAGTTTCCGACGGCGAATATTAATATTTTAATTCGAATGTACTCATTGATTTTTAACGCTGTTAATTGTAAATTTAATAGGATATTTTTAATTATGAATTTATTTGATACTTACCAGCGCTGTGTTTGCGACTTTGGTAGAGGATTTCCAGAGGATTTATTATCCGTTATTTTACGCACTAATAATACGAATTTAGTTGCGAATGAATTTTTATTTACAAGTCGTATTTATTTTGTTTTTATTAGTTCTTAACGCTCTGATGACGACCGGCGAATTTCTTAATTTGTGATAGTCTAACTGTGAATTTATTTATCGATTATTTAACGTTTAATTTGGAATTTATTTATCCTGTTGTGTTGGATAGCTGGTGAACTGGGAAGGGGAGCAGCGCGGCGGGAAGGCGGTGCTGCAGGTGTTCATCGGGTCGGAGACGGATCCGGTGCGCGTCCATCCCTGGTATCGCGTCTGCATCGTGGGCGGTCGCACCAGTAGTCAGGCGCGCATCGTCAACCTCGACGCCCACACCACCGCCCTCGAGATGGACGTCCCGCCCGGCTGCAAGGGCCTCGTCAAGTACGTCACCTACCGCTTCGCTTCGCAGCATTATGTACAGTAACAAAATATATATAAAATTATGATATAAATAAAGTTTGGTAATAAAATAAAATATTATTCGTATTAAAAAGGAAAGGAAATTCGGAGTAAATCCGGGTTAAATTCGCGTTTTATCAAAAAGTTTCGCCTTTAAAATAAAACATTTTTCGTAATAAAAAGGAAAGGAAATTCGGAAAAATTAAAAATCCGGGTTAAATTTGCCTTTAATTAGAAAATTTCCTATTATAATAAAATATTATTCGTATGAAAAGGAAAAGAAATTTGAAAGAAATCTGGAATAAATTCGCCTTTTATTAAAAAGAAATTGTACTATAATAAAATATTATTCGTATTAAATGGAAACGGAATTCAGGAGAAATATGTTTGATCTGGAAAAAAATGCTTAATAAAATGAAATAAAAGTCGGATAAATACATCTTAGTTGTGGATAGAATTCGTGAATAAAACTGATAAAAGGGGAATAAATGTGTGATGATTGTGGTGGGTGCAGCATCAACTGTCTGGGCATCGTCAAGCTGCGCAACTCGGACCTGGAGCACAGCGGCAGCTCGCAGAAGAAGGACGCGCTGAACCGGCGCAAATGGACGGCCGACGTGCGCCTCGTCTTCCGCGCCATCATGACCGACTCCGACCAGGTCACGCACACCGCCCAGGCCGTCTCCAGCGTCATCTCCTGCAGTACGTCCCTCTTCCTCACTGTCCCATATCCAGAAAATTAATTAATAATAAGACATATTCATTTGTAGTATTTTTAAGTGTTTCTTCCTAAGTATTTGTTAAAATTAGCTTAATTAACAATTTATTTATTGTTACAGTATTATTCAGTTAATTAAATTTAATAAAAATTATTATTTTCATGATTTATTTACACAATTTAATTAATAAATAATACTTAATAATTTGTATTATTTTTTAGGTGTTTCTTAAATTATTTGCTTGAAATTAGCTAACACACCGAATAGTTATTCATTAATAAAATATTATTTAATAAATTAAAGTTAATAAAAATGTAATTCATTATTGATTAATAAGTAATTAACAAAAATTAGTTAATAAAGAATAATTAATAAATATTTTTTTTCTTGCTACTAATTTAGTAAATGATTTATTCGTTTAATGTCATTTTTTTTTTGTTGTGATTTATTATATCTTTTAGCGCCTTCCTCCGGCGTCCCGCAGATCCAGTACACCTCGCTGACGCAGTCGCCGGCCTGTGGCGGCGTGGAGATTGTCGTCATCGGACGCAATCTGGTCAAGGGATCCACGCGACTGTTCGTGCAGGAAGTGGCCGATGTCGCCGGTACGAGTATTTTATATTGGGCATTCCTTAGAAATTTTACGGATTTATTTGTACGAATCCATTATTTATTGACATTTACTGGCTAATTAAATACAAAAATAATTAATTAAAGAAATTACGACATGAGTCAACCAGATTCCGAGGTAAATTAGTTAATTTACTTATTTATTACATAAAAAACGATTAATCTGGTTAATTAAATCAAATATACATATATGTCAAATATAGAAATTTAAATCAAATCAAATATCATCGCATAGTAATTAAAAATTACAAAATAAATTACTGATTCAATAAGCAAATAAATTAATATAATAATTATTTACTGAGCCCGTAAATTACAGAGTAATTTGAAAATTACAAAATAAATTATTGATTAAATAAATAAATGAATTAATTAATATAATAATTATTTATTGAGCCCGTGAAATGCGAAATAATGTAAAGCGGTTGTATTTTGCACTTGCGCAGGGCGGGAGAAGTTGGTGTGGCAGGAGGCGGTGCAGCTGATGCCCAACTTCTTCACGCAGGTCCACCTGGTGGCCAAGATCCCGCCCTACCGCCTGGCCGTCATCCACGAGCCCGTCCCGGTCTCCCTCGTGCTCAAGAACAACAAGAAGTGCAGCCAGGCCTTCCCCTTTCTCTACGTCCCAGGTGGGTTAGACAAATCAGGCAAAAATTTATTTAATAGAGAATTAAAACAGAATTGTTCCTAATAAAATAAAAATTCTTATGGAATCAAATTGTAAAATTAATACTAAAATATACAAATAGAATAAACGGAAAATAAATTAAATCTACAGAAGAAACTGATTGCAAAACTTGAAATTCCTAAAAGAAATTCTTGATTGCAAAACTTGAAATTCCTGAAAAATAAAGCAAGTTAAAGAAATACTCGTAATTAAAATGTACATAAAAAATTAATTTCTATATTAAAATGGATAAAAATAAAATCGTAAGTAAAAAATCGGAAAAATCGCATTATGGATGAAAATTCGTACTAAATTAAGAAAAAAAGCCAAGGCATCCAAGAAATTCAGTAACCGGTGAATTTTCTCCACAGTGCACAGTCCGACGCTCCCGCCGGCCCCCCTCCCCAGTAAACCGCCCCCCGCGGCGGCGGCGGCGGCGGTGGCGGCGCCCCTCAAACCGGCCCGCCACGTGTCCATCCAATGCGTGCTCCCCCTGGAGGCCCCCCCGCCGCCCCTCCCCCTCCTGTGGCCGCCCCTCAGCGTCCCCGTCAGCCTGGCGCTCCCCCTCACCACCCCGCCCCTCCGGCCCGACGCCAAGGACGACGCCGCCCTCGTCACCCTGGCGCCCCTCTTCCCCCTGTCCGCCCACGACCTAGCCTTCCTGGCGGCGTGCGGACTGGAGGTGGACGGGCGCGTGGTGCAGCCGGAGACGGCGGGGGTCACCGAGCAGTGGACGGTGGGGGGCGGGGCCCCGGTCGCCCCCCGGCGGCGGTTGAAAGTGCGGCCGGGCGCGTCGCTGGCGTTCCAGTGGAGTAAGGCCCGCCGCCCGCCCTGACGGGGGGCGGGGTGGGGGTGGTTGGAAATTTTATTCTTTTAGAGAGGTTTTTTTTTGCACAGGGGTGGTTTTTTTTTGTTTATTTTGTTACTTTTTTGAGGAATATAAAAGGGGGGTGGATAGAGTTTATATTGCGTTTTATTAGTATGGTTTACATGTTTTTGATTGTTTTTCTTCTTTTTACCATTTTTGGCGGGATGTTTGTTGTTATTTCCGGGAAATAAATTGGGCGTATATGCGGGACAGTCGAGACGAAGCACCTTTATCACGAATTATACATTCTGGCAAAAACGTCCGGATACGAATTTACGGTCAGGTAGAAACCTCCGGATGTGAATTGTGCAATGTACACTCATTCGAAAAATGTCCGGCTATATTATTAGAAAGTAAAATTTAGAAATAATTATCAAAAAATTCGAGGACGGTTACAAAAAAGAAAGAAGAAGAAGAAAATTCTTTTTATTTATAAGCTTTTGCGTGCAGAATTTGAAGAAGATCGGTCCATAATGATACGTTTTGGTACATGAGCGTTTCTCAGCAATCTGTCACTTTATTTTGTATTCGATTAGTCACCCACGTATTTAGATTTCACGAGGGCACAGAAATATTTTTTTTAAAATACAAAAATTTCTTTTAAAAAGTACGAAAGCACAATTTGGAAATTTTGAACCTTAATGAAATTTAATTTTTTTACCTATTTCATATATATGTTTTTTTCATTTTTCATATATTTTTCACATTTTTTCACATTTCCACAAATTTCACCACAATTAAGGTTTACGCATGGAATTCATGAATGTACTCCGGTAAGGTTGTCATCACGTCATCACACGCTTTCACAATCACGCCGTCTTCCTGCTCACAATCCTATCATGCCGAACAACTGCGGCTGGGATAAAAAATGTGATGAGTGATGGGACGCGGTGATGTGATGGGATGAAATTGTATTTTTAAAAATAAAAGATCAAAATCCTCTACCTGAAGTTCTGACCTATAGCGCACTGCGCATCGACAGTGCATATATTTTTAGATATATTAACTTTCTAAGTGACATTCTAACAAATTCGGCGATGGAGCAATTTGGAATCGAGAAATGCGAATGGTTGCACTGATTCACATACAGAGTACTTGTACAAATACTTCGAGTCTTGAGTGACTTGGTTCACGTCTAATATTCGCTTTTATTGGAAAAATATTTGCGAAAAGGTGTACGGCGATTGGATGATCGATAAAGTGACCGTTGTGGAAGATGATGATACGATACAGTACTTGACGTAATTCTCCAACGGTTTTTACTTCTTTAAAACCACCGTGAGAACCATCAGATTCCGTTGCGTGCGATTTTTGGGTTTTGACTTTTGTTAACTTGTTTTACCAGTAATGTCGGTAAATTAACTCTCTTACAGATACATTTTTTTCGCAAGGCTTCTCTGTTGTAACAAACAGCTAGCATAAAAATTTTTAATTTCATTGCAAACAATATGTCGGAAATTAATCAATATATTGGTAGTCTATCCCACCAATCACATCACTTCCTGTTCACGTTCCCATCACATCCCACCTCTAAAACCTTGGTGGGATGACAACCCTATGTACTCGTATAAATTACGTAACGGACTCAGTGGATAGATTTTATTTGTTTTATGATTTAGATTTGTACTTGTAATTTGTACATTTTTTTGTGTAAAGGTCACATGCAAAGCGAAGACTACGTTCCACAAAATTATGTACCTCTAAAAAAGACGATTATGCACTTGTTCGAAATATATAGCAAAAGTGATCAGAGTGTGCGATAAGTTTAATTTTGTCTACACAATATTATAAAGCAGTGCAAAAAAGGTGTTGGGGAGTACGCGAAATCAAAAGATTTCTGTGGTTACACAAGGATTTAGACACCATGTACTTGTGCACTCTGTACCGGCATACAGTGTACTTCCGCAAGTTCCGTTATATCCTGTCGCGAAAGTGTTTCCAATAAGTAGGATTATCGAAGTATAGAAGATTAATGAGTGTCTACGATAACGAATTACCAGTAATTGTACGCACTTCAGTATGGGCTTTATACTTACCGGCAACTCTTGCCGCTCGACATGCGGAGAAAACAGCGCTGCTCGAAATCGTATCGTATTCACATTACTTGACGCTACTCATCACCTGTGAAACAGGTTATTAACTAACAAAATTATGATTATTACGAATAATACTACACTCGTGCAGACACGAGTTGCGGCACGAATACACTGAAAATTATCCGGACTATACAACTGTACGTTACGCTTTACTGGATTCAGTTTGGAGTGAATCCATAAACACTGCTGACAGCCTTATAAGAATTCCAACGAAGTGATATATGGCTGCTGCGTTTTCATCGGTGTTAGTGTTGAATGCACAACAGCATTAGCAAGAATGACGAGCGGAGTATACGCTGGTCCGTTTCCGGAGGCGGTTGACGCCGTATAAAAATACGCAACCAATGCCGATTGCAATCATTTAGTTGCTAGTACAATTTGTGATTACAAAAGTTTCAAATCTCATCTATAAAACGCCGGCTCGCTTCGCTCTTCCGCTGTTCAGTATCTTCCATAAATCCGCAATCCGCCATGATGGCTTCATCCGCCAGCAACGGTTCGTTGGGATTTCTGTGCTCCCTGGCCGAGAAGCAGTACCCGTGTGGATTGTGGATTGTCTGCAACCTCCCGACGATTATCGGCCTGGTGGGCGGTGCCCTGCTGGGCTGGTTCCTCTACCCGTACCTGGAGCGCTTTCTCGGCGGTGGCGATAAACAGGTGTCCGATTCGCCGGAGCTGGAGTCTTTGAGCGCATCGCCCAGCCAAGCTCGCCTGGTCCGCCAGTGCAGCGAGACGTGGGCGCGGCTGCACGCGGAAGATAAGCAGCAAGCGGCGCGCTTCCGGGCGGAGGTGCTGCACGTCTGCGCGCGCTATCAGCAGCGCGGGGCCGCGGTGCGCGCCTTCCTGGAACAGACCGCGGATTGGGCGGCACGCTAGCGCCGTGGTGGGTCTGGAACAGTGTACATTCTTCGTTTTAACGCATATTGCGTGGAGTTGTGCTTGTTTTTTTAAACCCGGTTTATTATTGAATACGCGTTCCGTTTGTACAGTGTTTGTTGATTTTGAGAATACTTTTTAACCGCGTACTTTGTACTGACTGGTAGATATCCCCTTTCCTTTTACGGTCCTAACAGTATGTTCTGCAGATATACAGCCAATAAAAGGTAATCCGCTCACATAATATGTCTGAACGTATAGCTAATCACTGTATAATTTTCATGGTAAAAACTGGTTAAGATACAATGACGCTGTGCAGCGTAATCAGAAAAACTCAACGTTAGCAAACAGCATTTAAACAGGATGTAAATAAACAGCAACAGAATATCATATAGGAATACAGAAGCGTGTTTGGGAATGCGCGGCAGCGAATGTTCCCGTGGATGTATGTACTCGACTTTGGTGCCATGTACCGGGCCAAATCGCTTAATGCGTCTTCTTCATACATTCTTGATGTTAACCCTAAAATGCTAAATGCTGAAATGTTGTTTTGAAGGGTTACACTGTACACACGCACATTGCTGAGGTGATGTATCTTGCACGCGTACTTACGAGTTACGCGTATGAAAGTATATACGTGTATACGCATATACGTATGTACGCATATATATACGTACAATATAAACGTATATATATACGTGTATACGCGTATGAACGTCTTGGTAATGTTGTGCGATTGTGTCCGTAGCAACTTGACAATGACTGTCAGTCTGTGACCCTGGTGTTGCTACGCTTTCTTAGTAGTTGTTTGCGCCCTGACAAATAATTAATAACGTACCTAGTCAAAATACGTAATACGTGCCTAGTCAAACCTACCTTAACACGTAGCCTAGTCAGAATTTCTGTCATCAGCAATAAGGTAAATTTAATTTCATATAACTTATCTACGCTTCGGTCCAGCAGTACCCGCAAAAAGCGAGTGCACTTTCCTGGTAAAAGAAGGACAGATCTGATAAATCGCTAACATGCTCCAGCGTTTCAGGATCTGTTCTGGTCTCGGACAGTGACGGGCATTCCCGAGCAACGTTGAGTAGAGTGTCCGTATTTGATGATAACAACGTGACATCTACGAAAAATTTGATCTCCTCGGCGTCCATCACGATGCCCTCGCATGCGGCTGACTGGTCCAGCTTGATCATAATATGCGGGTTGCCTTTTCTGTTGGGTTTCAGCCGAACGCTTCTGATTCCGTTTTTATTCAGGGAGGCGTTTCTCAGACCGCACTGTTCTCCACAAGAAGAATGCTCTTTTTTAATGGTTTTGACTTGCCGCCAATAGTCATCCTGGTCACTCCCATCCCTGACACCGAGATCATAAAATTTGGACTTGTAAAACAACTGATAAGCAAGTTTTGCGTTAAGAAACTTCGCTGAATACAGCTCTCTAAGGAATGTGTGCATGGAAACATTCAGGATGTCCGCATTAATTTTGAAGGGGGGTCCTGATGAAAATAGCTCAATTGCTCGTTTCCCATCAGACGTTACAATCCGTATTCCGACACCGGCCAGCACGATATCGCCACTGTCGCCACAACAAGTTGGTTCTTCCGCGGTAATTTTTTTCAAGTCATCCAAGTGCGGACTGCACGAGAGAAAATCTCTATTTCCGTCCTTGAGGTATATGGTCGCTAATAACCGAAGCACTTGTTGCGATTTCTCATTGTCTTGTTTTTCTTCCAAAAACGGAAAGTTTAAGGCATTGTGAATGAACTTCCGTTCCTCTGTTTCTGTGGATATCTGATCTCCAGTGGAACACTTCCCCGGTAGTTTATCCCTGTCTAACTGTTCGCGCATGTCACACCACGTCCATTCGCATAACCAGCATGGCCGGTAATTACAATATCGTTCCCTGAAAGCTGCAATAACCGAAAAACTCGTATAAGGTTAAATCGGGTGTATGTTATATTGATGAGGTAACAAGCACCCTGTTGGGCCACAATGTTAGGCTCCAGCCGGTAGCCTGCAGCAAATACAAGAATTTATTGCCTAAATTAGACCAAAATAATAGTCTGCCGAAATGAACTGCGGCCGAAGTAAAAACGGCAGAAGCGATTTGCCGGCTACAGTAAAACAGTCAAAAGAAGCTACTTGCATGGTAGCCATCCAAGCGGCCATGCGGGTAGCTTCTTTTGACTGTTTTACTTATGGCAGCACGTCAGTTTACTGACAACCGGTTCGCTGCCCGACAATTTGCTGACCGATATGTTGCTGATTAACATAACTTGCTGACTGACAGATAGTTGACCGACAATTCGCTTTTCTCCCGTTCCGCTGCCCGATGCTTTGCGGAAACTCTTTTGTTGACCGGCAGCTTGCTTATCGATCAGGTTATGGGTTTCTTAGTTTCCTGAGTACTTTTCTTAGGCTTTTAGGTTTGTTCTTGTTTTATTACGTCTTCGTATTCGTTTTTGCATCGCAGTTTTGTAACCTTGGCCGCGTTTTCTTAGGTTTTTAAGGTTTCTAGGTTTTATTTGGTTTTTCTAGGTTTCTGATGTTTCCTTAGGACTTCGTAGGTTTCCTGGGTTCGTACAGGGTTTCGGGAAGATATTTTGTTGGACATCAAAAGTTCGTCAGCAAAGTGTCGGTGTTCAGCAAAATTTCGTATCAGCAAAACGTCGTTCAGCAAGCTGTTGATCGCCATGCTGTCGCTTCAACTAATTGTCGCATAAACATTTTATAGATCAGCAAAAGGTTGTCAGCTAGTCGTCGGTCAGCAAGATGACGGTTAGCAAACTGTCGATCTGTAAACGGCGGCAATACCAATAATCCTAATAAAAATTTGTCCCATGAAACAAAGGTCTCTCAGTCGAGACGGCCTCGTGGCTGAATGTCTCGACATCCAAACGGCCTCCCGATGAAATGTCTCGCGAGGGATACACTGCCGACTAAATGCCTATTTCCAAGCATTGTTCCCTTTTCAGATATCGCCTTCCTTATAATTTAAGACGGCTCAGCCAAATATCGCTGGTGCCCTTGTCGATACAATTATCAATAGGAATACATAATATTTTTCCATAATGCTTTGTATTAAGAACACAACAGTGAAACTACTAATAAGTAGACTAAAGTAGCTAAGCACCTGGTAATTTACCTCGTACTTGGAGTTTCACAAAACTTACCGTAAATGTAGCATATGGCTTATATTAACTGCATCCATTCAATCAACTCCGTCGGCCACGCTAATCAGTATTTTCTGTTTATTCTGCTTAACGAAAGACGGTTAATCGGTTAGACGTTGGTAATTTTTGCATAAAGAGCACATTTCCGTATTGGTTGTAAAGCATTTGCTGGGTAAGCAACCATATGTACTTGTATAGTAGTCTAATCTTCGAACTGCTTTTCCCGTGAAATTATAACGCAGAAAATTGCGCAAATTCGCCTGTTACACGACTGACGATTTACAAAGTTAGTATTTCCCTTTTTGCTCAGTGTCAAACGCACTGAATAATTTCGATAGAAAATAGCTTTTATGAAGGCCACTTCGTGCGGTGGTGTACCGTAGCGAGATACGGTTAATGCTGGGGCCGAGGCCTTAGTGCTTCACTATTTAGATTTAGCAAAAACATTCGTACCCGCCCAATAGAGCGCAGCAACTTTAAATCTGGTCACCCGCGCTGCGTAGGACAGCAACTTGAAAAACTGGGTTTTGGAAATATGAACCTCGACTGTTCCGTAGACTTTTTAATCAGACTTTCTTGTCAAATCCTGATATTCCTCTATAACCATGCTTTAGAGGTAAAATCTATAAATTCAGGGCTTTCGAGTGATTCATACCCATTAAAATTTCATCCATTGTAACTTTTTAGGTGATTTATCAAAAATCGACATATTTTTTTGGCAGTGGTGGGGTGATCGTTTTGTAGTGGTGGGTTCTCCACTTTTCCCATAGACTTTGCATGCTAAGGTTTTTTGAACTTTTCTTTTAAACCTACCGTTTGTTTCAAAAACAGACCTCTGATGGCAAATATAGAAACTTAGGGCTATCGAATGATATATAGCCATCGAAGTTTGGTTCAGTGTAGGGTCCTGGCGAACTGTATGGAAATGGAATTTTGAAAGTCTCATTCTTTTATAATATAAAATAGAGACTAGATGCTGATTATTTTAGCTTTATTATTACCAAGCGGCGGCCATGAACGATAAATTCAACAACTGCAAACACAAGCGGCAGTATTGGGTAACTACAACTGCGGAAATGAAAGAAATCTGGCCTGAACTGCCGCATACCTATGCACACGTCCAAAAACGGTACGACAACTCTTTTACCACCTACAAGCGGGAGAAACAGGAACATTCCGGCACCGGAACTGAACCGTCTGAATGGCCGTTCTTCGAATTGTTTGACTCGGTTTTGCATTACCGCAAAGACGTCAGCTTGGAAAATACACATGGACGAAAACGTAAGCGGCTAACCTGTAGGCAAACTTTAATATATTCAAAAGCAAGTGCTTTATGCTATAATCCGTGATATTATAATTATTGTTGTATTTAATTCAATAATATATATTAGTATTATCATAATATTACCATTTATTGTTGAATTATCTTTTAATATTATAAATCCTTTAGTTATAGTACCGTTTAATGACTTTTATTATTGCATATTTGTAACCCTTATAATGCACTTATATTTTGAGTTAAAGTAACATTAAATTTTATTCCAACACATTTTTAGGGTCGTTTAAGGAAAGCATACGCGACATTATTCCGGCAAACCGCGGAGCGTCGGGATTGCCGGAAACGGACGACATATCCGCTATGTGCGGGTATGACCCTGTCATTGAACAGGAAGAACGGGAGGCAGCAACCGCACCCTGGCGCATTAAATCTACGCCACCAGAAAAGAAACGCCGACCGGATGTTCGTGCACAGGTACACAATACTACGGTACACCACACACAGTACTTGTACTACCATATATATTTAATGTTATATCTTTATTAATAATAAATTACTAATCTATAAGTTGCCAGCACACTGGTTAGGCATCCCTTGGCAGTCGTAGCGTCCTGTTCAACAATTTCCGCCGGTTTTACTTACATGAAAAAGCAATAATAATAGTAATACTCATTACAATACTGTGTGTTTTGTAGTAAGTACTACATAAAAGTTTAAAAAAAAACTGTTACTGCACTAATACACTGAATATAGTTGTTAGTAAATTTAATATTTTGTTTTTATTCTTATAAGAAAAGAGATTTGTAACTAACAATATAACATAACTGACATTGATAATACAACTGACATTGTATTTATAACTCAAATTTTAAATTTTTAGTTGATGGGTAAGCTGGAAGCTCAATCAGAAAAATCGGATGAAAGAATTGCTTCGCTGCGACTACTGCGAGCGGAAGATCGCGAGGAGCGCGCACAAGCAAACGCCGTGGTGATCGAGAAGTGCAAGGAAAACCGGGAGACAAGTGAAAATCTGATGAACAAAATTGATCAGTGGTTAAAGATTGGCGGTTTTAGTATTGATAGTGAGTAGTTTTACAAAACGTTTTCATGCATGAGCATATTTTAAGCGCGCTACAACTACACTTAACATTTGATCACAAAAACATTTATTGAGTTCTTGTTGGTTGTTTTTTGGACGTTCTAAGTATGCATACTATACTACAAAATTTTAATTTCTGGGCTGCAATAGCATTTCACAAACATTTATTATACACCCACGAAGGTTGCTAGCTCATGCTTGTTGCATTGTTCGATGATTTTTTTACGGTAAACGACCTAACAAAAACACGTATTGGGTATGCGGTAATATTACACTGAAAACCCACTTAAAATCTAAATGGGAGTACGGTTGTCAAAAAAATTGGAAAGAGGGGATTATAACTCGATAATTACTTCCCACCCAAAATTTTTGTCATAAGTTTTAAGCGCTTCGCTGTAACTGTACGATCATCAGCAGGCGGTTCGACAGGTACATCCTCATTGTAGCCCTGCTCAACAATTTCCGCCGGTGTATCATCGAAGTCAAACAGGTCCAGATGTCCAACGCATATATTATGGAGCAGACAGCAGACAAGTATTACGAGATTCCCTGTTTTCATATCGCGATACGGAATGTGGAACATAATTGTCCCCTTACTTTTAGCTGACCAAACGTTCGCTCCACGCAACACCGTTTACACGATATCATCCCATTGTAGTGTTTTTTGCTCCGGTCGAGTGTGCCATCGTCGCGAAATGGCATAATCAGCTGCTGGCTGAATGGGTACACGCTGTCACCCAGCAGCGTAACGCTGGGGGGCAACCACTCCGACACTTTCGAATTCTTGTACACAGTTGCATTATGTACTCGACCGGCAAACCCGAATACAGCGTGTAAAATTTCGCAAGATAAGGAAGCAGCTGCCTAAATTTTAAACTAAATTTAATTCAGGATAATATAATATATAAACTTGAAAATGTATTGATGTTTTATGTCAATTTGTGTTACGAGTACATACTGTAATGTGTTGAAAATTGTTAGTATAATCGGTACCTGTAAGATAACGCTGTATCTCTGCTTCCGGTTGTAGTAACCGTCTGGGCCCTCAGACATGGCGTTAATATAAATATGCGAACCATCCACGGCGCCAATAATTCTTGGACACCAAACTGCAACTTTTTCACGAAAAGCAGTGCTGCAGTCTTCTGCATATTTTTCGACTTGGGCCGACGTAAGGGGTTGGTTTAATGAATCACCAAAACATCCCTTCATAGCATTCAAAAATTTTGCAAAATATGCATAAGCAGTTGACCTCCCGATGCCAAAACAGCAGAAACCACTGTGAAACTCGCACGATGTCCAAGAATGTATAAGGAAACTGCAACTGATAAAGTAATGGAGTTATTTGTGAACACCCAATCAGTCGCAGGCATATCGATGGTAAATGTCATTATTGCAATGGCCGTAGTGCAGTGGCTATCATTAAAGCGCCAGCATCGCGCTAATTACTCTCTACCAGTGTCTTTTGGTACAAAATTTTGTCTTGCGCTTTGTAGATACACCGTCAGTATATAACAGCGAGTACTGTCTCGTGAAATGTATATAATAATCATTTGATGCCGTATAATTGGCACAAACGGAAACCTCAGCATTTCGGTCACCGAATTGAAACGGCCTTTGCGATCTATTGGTGTTTGTATCCTTCGAAGCTTATCCGCAATAGACTCTTCTCCAAATATATCGTTAGTCACGACATCTTCGACAATTTCCGCGATATTTATTCCGTTTGTGCAATTCATATTGGGATTCAGAAGTTCTGCCGCACTGTTACATAACTTTGCACTTTCGGCCGCCGAAAATGCGGCAAGTTCGTATAAAGTGTTAACTATATTCATATGTCAGATGGGGCGTACTATGAATTAGCAGAATGTCCGTTAATAATTTTATGAATTGGAAAGTTGTGTGAAAACGCAATCAAAAAGGTATCAACAACAATGTGAAATACGAGTACTGGAATTTTAGGACTACAAATGGTGCAACTGTTCAATCACACTGAAGCAGAAATGCCAGTTAATGATAATGTCCGGTTTCAAATTATGTGGAAATGGATTACGGGACAATACGGAGCCATTAATTAATTGTTTGGAATCTTTTCCATTGTAAATGTCTTAAGATGAACACAACATAGGAACCTCAAGTGGTTCCTATACGTCTTAACCATTGTGTCTACGGAGCCGACCAAAAGGTACCTTTCGATAGCAAAGCACTGTTCAGGCTGCTTTGTGCTATCTACCAATTAAGAGCTAGGTAGTTAACGTTAGCATAGGTGTAATGCGTGAACGCAATTTTGGGACCTAATGCAATTAGGCGGTTGACCCGTTGAAAAACATCAAAAATTTTCAGTTTTTAATTTTTCGCCCGGCATTTCTGCGCGCTTGAAATTCCAAATACAGGGAATCTGGAATTCCAAGCAAAAATTGGAATTCCACGGATTTCCTGTTTTCCATTTTCCAAACCCGGGCCGCTCGCATGGAGAGCGGATTTGGAAATTGGATGCCATTCGTGGAATTCCATTTTTCGTGGATGGGCGTTCCTTACCTCTTTCCTATGGGATAGGTGGAATTCCACACATTGATTCCATTTCCAGTGGTACGTACCGTTTCCAAGTGTTACTAGAAATGCATAACAGTTGCTCGTGCTAGGTGCAATGATGTGGTTATCAACCATCACTAGTTTAGTAATTTGAAAATTAGCAATTTCGAAATTAATGGAATGGGCGAACGGTTGAGTCAGTTATACAATGGTGGAGGTCAATTACATTTGGGTAAGCGTTGCGCGTCGGGTAACGGGAAAACGCGTAAAAAGTGTGACGTAACAGCGCGTAACCAAGCAAACATTCTGATTCGCAGTCACAAAATCTGGGATGGGTTTTCAGCTTACTTGTCCGCGTAAGCGTTGCGCTTTGACGTCGAAGCGCAACCATTACCCAAACTACGAGTAACTCGTAACTCTCCTGCACAGATCAACAAAATTTGTGTGTGTTTGGACCAAAAGTAAATCCAACGACCCAGATTCACAATCCAAAACTCATAATTAACTTTTTTGACGTAATACCACATTTACCACATTACAGCATTAAAAATGAGTTTTTCAGTTCCACGTCGGTGTTCAATTTCTTTCTTGGCACGGAAGCGTACTCGACTCACGATTGGACGATTGTTTTTCTGCTGAGTCATGGCTAATTTTTTACGCGTCTCTCCATTACCCGACGCGCAACAGTTACCCAAATGTAATTGACCTCCACCAATGTGTCGTAGTGGTGTAAGTTTGCAACGGTGCACGTTCTGGTGTACGTAACGCTTTCGTTTCGACTAAGAAAAGAAAAGTTTGATAAGATAAGCCCCTGCCCCTTTAACAGCATAAGCTCTCTCTCTCTGTAGAACAAGAGCGTAGCGTGTTATCTGCATGCGAAACGTTATTAATTTTATAGAACGGACGGAAACTCTGGGATTTTCAGCGCGCGTTTGAATATCAACATTTCAGCCCACCCGTACGGTCGCACCGAATAAAACGCACCAGTGTTCGACTCATTCCTCTATATGAGCATTTTGTCGCGATTTCGAAGATTTATTTTGTTTGCTTGGATGAACGGAAGGAGGTTGAACATCACTTTAATTAACATTTAGTATTTATCTTGTAATACATTGCTGGAACACGGAAGATGAAATACATTGCTGGAACATGGAACAAGCAAGTACAGATATTGAACGATTTCGTGAGCGTCTGGACATTAACAATCTTCGGCCACCATGGACTATGAAAGTGACTACCGAATTGCTGGGTCGTGGAAATAGTGGTTTTGATGTGTGTAAAGCCGAAGACAGATCCAGCGGTCAAGAATTTGCGGTGAAATTAATGCGATTTCGGCACGAATTTGTGTCTCATGTACTTCAGGCCTCACGTGGTTCTGGCAGTGGTTGTATCTTTGGACCGGCGGTTTCGAACAGATTCGAAATAATTCGCGCGCTGGAACACTCCAACATTGTGAAGTATTATTTCTTGAACGCGTCCAGTATTGGAGATGACTTTCAACTGTGCATTTTCATGGAACGATGCAGTGGTAACGAACAATATGTTTGAATCAAAATATGTTTTTACTGAGTACGTTTTCGCTTAACTAGACAGCCATTAATTTCATTATTTTTCTTGTGCGGTTCAGCTAACCCATTTACCAGGGAACCAAATGTCACGAGACTGATAACTTGGTTCAAAAAAGCGATAGGTTTATTTACTATATAATCCCAGAATTATTCGAACGACCTGCCGCACTTCTTCCCTAGACCACCCGCATCAAACGTCTGCTGAGTGGCACTTCTCAGTGGCGGACCGGTGGGCGGGGTCAGGTTCTAACCTTACGTTAGTTAGGTACATATATACAAACTTGTACTGCAATGACTAGCAGCGGCCAGGCCCGCCACAAGGTTTTTGGACAGGGGGGGGCGCACCATTTTTTGACCGCCGCCAGGGGGGCGCTTAATAGAAAAAATTATTTTTAATTTCTTTTTATTTTTGAACCGTATATTGGCCCGACAAAACCCGTCGATCGGTAGATGGTATTAACCTTTGCCTGGTTTTAATGTTTTTCAAGCTTTCGGTAGATGGTATTAACCTTAGCCTGGTTTTAAATGTTTTTCAAGCTTTCTGAACACGCAGATTACTGTACGAAATAACGAACCACAAATCTCATTAATTTATATAATAAAAAAATTGAAAAACGTACGGAACCATGGCAGTAAAAGCGGCGCCAGGGCAGCGGAGCCCTTCTCGGCCGTCAGGACGCCGCGCCGGGAGGGCGGTCAAAAATCCGCGAAAGGGCCACCGCCGGTGCGCCCCCCCCCTTTCTTGCGGGCCTGCCAGGCTAGTACCAACTCACCAAAAAAACTAGGTATACAGTGTACTACAATCTGCGGACCCGCTTCACAAACCAAAACTAATCTTTCAGTACCTGCTTTTTTTTACAGATACGGGTGGTTAGCAGTTTAAGTACCTGTAATTACATGAGAGGAAAGCGTTGAGAAAGTTAACATCAGCAACGTTGTACCAAATATCCTGGGCTGTTGTGCAGAACATTTGCAGAACTACAAATTATGGAAGATTTTAATTCGCATCAGCCAATGCATATAACAATACGTCTGCGCTTGTTTAATTATTAAAGACTTAAAATTTTTTCAGTTACGGTTATTTTCCATTACTGTAAAAGCCGCATAACGGTGACTTTTTGCCATAGACGTTACCCTGGAAAAAGATATGCAAGCTTTTTCTCGCCGCTATCACACTGGTTATGAGGCCAATGAAGTGGTACGATACTTTGCTGACGTCGCATCTGGATTACGATATCTACACTCACGGGAAATAGTACACGGGGAACTGTGTCCAGAAAATTTAATTTTTTCGGAACAATTGCCAAAGTTGCTAAAGATAACTGACTGCTTGCCTCTTTTTGATTGGCTTGAGAAAGGAATTCAACGTCCGGAAGCGAAAAAACGGGACATGGTGTCGCCGTATAGGGCCCCAGAAGAGATCAGTCGCAAGAAAGGTTTCTTCATGGGCCGCCGGGGCGACGTATGGAGTTTAGCCTGCATTTTAGTCTTTATGCTGCAAGGCCGTGCGCCATATTCCATACCGATAGTGTTGCGTATGCTTCTAAAAAAATCACTAGATGGACTAGCCAAGGAGGCTTTTTCTAAGTTGATCGCGCGGTGCATTGATGGCGACTTCAGGCGGGAAGCTCGCTATGGGAATGAGATTATTTTCTTGATTCAGGCTCGGAGTTTCCTTCAACGATGCATGGTGTTTAATAAGATGGAAAGACCATACATGGATGCGGTCTGTGATCATGACTTCATTAAAGGTCAGACAGATTGCATTAAAACCGACCGTGATATCACCGACGCCCATTCCAGTCAAAAAGGTATGGAACCATCAGAGCGGTATTTTTAAGAACAGTTTTGCACAAGCTAAAATGAGGTAACAGGTTGGTTACTGAATATTTTAAATATATTTCAGAGCTGGAAGACAATCGTGATGGAATTACCAACAAGGTCCAAGGCACTTCGGAGCCATCGGGTACAGCACTTGATCCAAGGAGCTCGCAGAATGACGAAGAAAAAACCATGGAAAGTATCGGCAGCTCTTGTCGGTACAAATACAATCCCACAACGGACAAAATTGGACAGGGGCCGTTTGGGGCAGTTTATAAAGCTGAAATTACTGCTCGCGGTGACTTTACCGGTTCAGGCTCGATTGCTGTTAAAGCGATCTACGTTAGACTAACCGGAAATGTTGACAGCGAAAACTGCATCACTTCTGCTGCCAAGTGGAGACAGCTGCTGCAGCTGCGAAACAAAAATATAGTGCGGTACTACAAAATCAGCTGCTTCGTATCCGGTACCGGCGCTGCCATAGAGCTGTTAATGGACTATTTTCCAGGTTAGTGGAGAGCTTTGCACATGAATGTGTTGCTATATATTTCCCCAGTCAGCTTCGAAATTTCAGTTGCTTACACAATTAGCGCATCGATCCATGGCAGTGTTTTATGCTGATTTCCTTTATACTCGGTATTTTACCAATGAGAATGCACATTTCAATGATGTAGAATAAAAATCGTCAAAGCAGATCGCGTTCTATACCGTTGACTGTTACTGGTTGGTTTTACGGAGTGGCTCTACGTACTGCCGCAGCTTTTGCGGCAAAATAGCTTTTGAGCTGTTTTGCCGCAGTATCTGCGGCCAGTTAGTTAGCTGGCCAATTGCCGCACACTGCGGGTTTTCAGCTGGTCCGCTATTTTACGTGAGTACGTTAGGTAGATTTCGTAGGTTTCTGAAGTTTTGTTCTTAGGTTGTTCTTAGATTTCTTAGGTCATTCAGTTTAGGTCTTAGGTTATTCAGTTTAGGTTATTCTTATGGTTTTTTCAGATCTGGTTCTTATATTTTCTTAAGATGTTCTGTTATTTTCAGGTTATTCTTAGGTATCTTAGGCTTTTCTTGTGTTTCTTTTGCTTAAAATTTTTTGTTTTGCTTGGGTAACCGTTTGCGATTTTTTAGCGAATCTCACAAGTAGTAGTCACTTCCGCACATATCGAATTCAAATCGCTTGTGCGGGAGGGGCATCCGGCTTCGACTTTCACAACCAAGAATCCAGTAAGCGGTCAAATACCGTAATTATCGAATTTGCCGCACTGGGCGGCAAATATTGTAGTTCGGATACCATGAAGCGGGAGGTGCCTTTATTTCTCAAAGAATAAATTTTAGAAAGGGCGCTTATTAGTCAAGAATAAATTTCGCAAGGGCCCATTATTTTTCGAAACAACTGCTCATCTTGCTCTACTGTAAATAAGCGCCGCAGTTACCTAGTACTAAATGGTTAACTAGCAATAGCGTTTGATACCTCTACTAGACTACTTCTACAGTAGTAACTGACTCATTTTTGTTGCTTCGTCAATCGTCATTGATTGTACTTTGTATTCAAGCATATGGCCATGTTATGTTAAGGTTTCGATCACAACTCAGCTTTCAAATGATTAAATAAATACGCTTTAAAACACAAAATATGGTGTAATTATCGGTTTACTGGACTTAACATACAACTACCGCACCGGGTGCGGTAATTTCGGGGGTGACGTTATTTTTCGAACATGAATGCGGCAGTGCGCTTATTACGGGGGTTGCGCTTATTGCGGGGGGGGGGGGTGCCACAAAATCGATAATTACTGTCCCTTGCTGCAAAAAACTGCTTAAAAATAAGCTACTATAATTTTATAAGCCATGCACGTAATGTCTCTAGTACACCATCTCGCTTTGCAACTTCATTTAGCAGAAGTTTGTTTACATAAGGTTTCAATTTAATCGGCTACGTTTTATAAGAAATCTCATTGGTATACCTGTGGCTATTGTGTGCAGCAAAATAGTTAGCTAGCTATATTGCCGCGTATTGTTCTTACTGCGGCAAAATAGCCTAACTAGCTTAGTTTTAGGACTCTAGCCTTACAGACAGTGGTTAATAATTCACAAAGCGTACATATAGACCAAAGTACATTTTACATTTTTTCAATAACCCATGCTCCCAAGGAATTCGTAATATCTTTCCATATTTTGTTGAATTCTGGCAATTCCTGTGGCAAAAACACGCGTAAAAATTCCTAGCACTGTTTGCAGCAAGTTATTTTCACATTCGTTTCGATTCTTGGGCGCGCATTTGGAGTTGAGAAGCCGTACCCGAGAGTGGGTTCCAGTTACCGCACCTTCCCTAAATAGTGAGCTTGGCGAGCCACTGTCCAATGGACGCATCCGGGCTCCAGAATTAGAACAATCAGCTGCTTTCCTCCGCTTGGGTCTTTTAAAGTTAAATGGGGTTAAATGTATCTCATTAGCAAGCTGGAATCACCACTTACCTAAGAAATTACAGCCCAAACCGAGGCACACGTATATCCTTTTCCGATAGAAGAGCTGAATTCGTAAATTATGTGTTGCAAGGACTGTAGCGCGTAACGATTAATAAAAATGATAAAATTAATATTAGTTTATTAAATTTAAAATTTCTGCGCAACTTTCTAAATATTGCAGATGGTGATTTGGCTTGCCTGATTAACGTTTGGGAAGCGATATCAGAAGAAATGTCATTACTAGCCGGCGTCAGTTTTGCACTCCAGATTAGCTGGGGTTTATCATACCTTCATTCCGAAAGGATTATACACGGCGATTTGAAACCAGCGAATGTACTTGTACGATCGCAACCTCACCGACCTGGCGGATACGTTATGGTGATCGGTGATCTGGATGACCGATGCATGATGACGAGTAGCCAAACATGTACAAAGGATGTCACCCGAATGCATGGAACCACTCGCTATATGTCACCGGAAATGGTCAAAACATTTGTCTGCGAGGTGCCGACGGATCGGATTGGTCGGAAAACGGACGTTTGGAGTTTAGGGTGCATAATCATCGACCTTGTGGACGGTTTATTGGGAAATAAGGATAGATGGCTGCACCGAAAGGGAACAGAAGACCAGTGCATCATAACGAATTATCCGGATTACGTAATTTTGAGGAAGCTAGCGGATGGCTTTGTTCCTCTTTTAATACACTCCAGCCATGAGGAAATCACCGCTTTGATAGAAAAGTCATTGTGCAGCAGCAGCAAGGATCGAATAACATCCGTGGAACTATCTTACGAGTTAGAAAAAATTTTCGCTGTGGCGTGGGAAAATTTTAAGAATATGTAGCGGGTGCACGATCATTATATTCATCAGGACATATTATATATTATTTAACTGTGCTGCGTGCGATTGTGGCTCGTGAATGACTGGTTGCCAGATGGAAGCGGGCATAGTATATTATATCACCTCCATCAAGGTTTGACTTTGAACTCTTCCCGGCAGGTTTGTCTTTTTCAAGCGATCGGATAAAAATAATGCCCTACGATAACAGTCCCTTTTGATTAACTACGAAATTGTTTTTTTCTATATTTTAAAATTGTTTTCCGCACTTGCATGCCCATATCCTTAAGCAGACATGGTCGGCTAACTGATAGGCGGCGTTATTAACAATATGGGAACAATCCGGCGGCGCTGTATACAATTGCACCATGCGTAGCACGAAACGCGAGAGTGACAAAGAAAACAGAATGGTGAATTTTTCAAGTCCAATAGGAATTTGGAAAGATTCGGTTATACGTACAGTGGACGTCAAAATTTTGTTACACTACTAATGATTTTATTCGACTAGTCAGCCAGCACACAATGACAGTAAGACTATGCCGATTTATACAAATTAAAATGAGTAAATTTACACAATGAAAAAACACCCAATGTCATTACGTGCACGTAGTGTACCCAAAACAGCAGCTGCATTTCCTCTGGCTACCCAAAGGCTTAAACCTTGTCTCGAAAAAGTCATAGATCGGGGTTCTCCGGTAACTTCGCGGATCTTCCTGCCGACAAAACGGATAAGCTCGGCCAAAGACATTCCAAATGTCCCGAAAGTCTCGACCGTCAAAGGCCAGAAAATATATCCCAGTTCTTCCACGCATGCGTATTTCCCGCGCATAGTGTTTTCAGCCAGCTGAGCTACGCTCCCAGCTTTTTTTGAGCTAGCGCTCCCTTGGGACAAGGCCACTGTATCCCAACAGGTGGCATCCCACACAACCGCCTTACCGCCACGCACAGGAATCAATGTCATACTATCGGGCCGCTGGCCGTTACGACCCGACAGTCCAGAAGGTTCGCTTTGGCAGGGATAGCCCGCGATCTCCAAACCGTGCTTTGTCTCGTTATTTCGGCTCAACATGACGTGACCACCTGCCTTTGCTGGTTGAATAAGACAGGCCATGATGACCGTTGGACTCTACATGTCTTCCGCGAATCACGCATTCGTGTTCCTCCGCTACAGGAAGTCCAAAACGAAGGGCGACGCCAACCCTCGCCTCATCGTCGCGAAGGATTGTGCGCATATTAGTTGCCGGGAGTGTATTTAACCATGCGCCGGAGTCGCGATGCAGAGCTGCCAGTAACACCGCTTTACCGGTTTCATTCGTGGCTGCTAACCTCAGCACCGACAGTACAAAATATGTCGCTAGACGGTCCCAGGTCCGCTGACACTTGCTGCTCTTTTCTGCAGGTGGTTCACATTTTGCCCAGTCGGTCCATTGCCGCACAACCGAATCCAGGAGCTCCACCGTCGCAGACTGGTAGATTTCTTTGCTTAGCGTTACCACTCGATGCGCCGATGCCAAAAAGGCAGGGAAAGCTAGCGATATATACAGCGTAGTCCCAGTCCACCGTCTCAAAACGGAAGTGTCATCTTGCTCCGTTGTATATCTGTAACACGAACGTTCAAAGTAGACTGTATGCCAGCACGTATATCTTCGTCTATGGCGGCCGTTATGGCCGGATGTTCGTAGCATCTGGCTGTGCAAATAAAACGTTTCTCCTACGTTATACATAGCCGAAAATACTGTCGAATCCCAATAATCCCAATAATGATCTTTACTGTACCAATACAGCTCAGGATGGATACTCAGTCGCTCAAACACATCATCAGCATAAAACTGAGAAAACAGACGACTTAACTTTAAGACACACATAACTTCGTCACACCGTTTCTTTTTATTGACAAATTGTACAAGCTTAATGCCATTTAAATAATTTAGAACCAATTTAGAACAAAAAGAATAATTCTTCAAGCTTTTTAGAACACCCAACCGTTCTCAGAACAGAAGCAGCGTTCCCACGCTGAATTTCCACACTTATACGCTGCCGAAGAAATTCGGTGGCGCGCGATTCTCCTGTTTGCTCTTTAATGCGTCGGCCAACTGAAATGACGGGTACTGCTGCCACAACTTCCCATAGTTTCGAGGGTGATTGGTTCGAAAAGTGTCGATCAGTCAGTTCCGAGTAAAGGTTTCTTTTTCGTGTTTCCGAGTCATCAGCTGCAGATCCCGCGGCTTCTGATGTACCGGTTACATACGACTTAGCGAACGTATCAACAACCGTCACATTCCAATTCAGAGGAAGGCCATTTTTCCAGGGAAAGAGTGATAAACCATCCGGCCGTCTCCCTTCTAATCTCCTCTCTGGGCAGTTCCAAGATTGTCGGCACCTTTGCTGAACCCAGACTACGTTGGATTACACTGTTCAGGCTGGCGTGCCGCCTGAACCTTCCCTGACTTCTTATGCACGACAGGCCATGTAAGCCAAACGCATCAACCATTTCCCCACAACGGCACTTATGCTCCTTGCGTAATGGTGCCCACATCCGCAAAGCAACAGCGACCCGCAGACCGGCATCGTCCAGTAATGTGCCAAGGCTAGCAACCGGTAGCGCAAACAACCAGGCACTGGCATTCTTAGTAGAAACAGCCAACAGACGAGCAGATGCAATAACGTCGGCACTCGGCACCATCCATTAAGTCCTCCAGTTTCCCGGCAGTCAGCATATCCGACCACAAGCGTTGGCTGCTTCGGTCTTCTAACGCAGGTGCACCCTTTTCTGTACGTTCCTGCCAGTAGAACTCAACGTCAGACCGATCCTCGGGGCAATCTTCAGGCACAATAGTGCGTACTAATTTGTCGGTCGAATATAGCGAGGAGAGATAGGCCGGCGTTGCGATTTCTTTGGCTTTAGGTAGTCCCAATCCCCCGTATTGGACCGGCAGAGTAGCTTGCCCGTATAGGCAGCCATCCATCTTAACATTCATAATCTCTTCCGCTTTTGACCTAATCACGTGGTCGAAACCCTCTAGCTTCTCCGGATATTTGTTACAAGGGCCGCTCTTAGCGTATACATAAGCTTTGGGAGCGATAGACAGTTTCTAAGGAGGAATAGCGCCTGCTGCACCGGCAGTACGCCCAGTAAGTCCGTCGATTTTTTGATTTGGCCAATTTTGCCGTCCAAGCAGCGGCCGATTGACCAGTCCGTTAGAGGAACACCAAGCAGTTCCAGGGTATCTGGAGTCAGCCTTTGAATTCCAGGCACGACTGCGGCAAATCGGTCATAGATGTCTTGTTGCTCCGCTTCAGTCCCGCTATAAACAAACAACTCGCACTTTGCAAAGTTAATGTCTAAACCAATTTTCGGCGCATCCGTACAAACTCTAATAAAATCCTCCAGAACCACTTCTGTGTCTCCTCCAGCCGTCCCTTCGTCCAGATACCAGGCGTTGAGATCGGACTGGAGACTAGTCGACAGCTTGTTGGCGGCGAGGCAGAACAGGAACGGACCCAGAGAATGTCTTCGGGAATATCTTTCCGCAGCACCATGGTGGCCAGGTCTGAAACACTTATGTAATCATAAAAGGCGCAGCCAGACACTTTTCTGTACTCAAACAGCCAAATTTGGGACTGGCCATCGGCCTGATGACATTAGCATTTGCACCATCGCATTTCCCAACGGAAACCATCGACCGATATCTCAAACAACCGAGGAAAACATTTCAAGAATTTCGATACTAAAGAAGTTGTTCTTTATGAGATCTAAGAGAAAACCGATCCATCTAAGCTTCTCGTAGAGGTAATGTCAAAGTCATCCGCTAGTTTATTTAAAATTACGTAATCCGGAGAATTCGTGATTCTGCACCGGTCTGCTGTTTCTCGTTGATGCAGCCATCGGTCCTTATTTCCTGATAAACTGTCTGCAAGATCGATGATTATACAACTCAAACTCCCAACATCGGTTTTGCGGCCTGTTCGTTTACACTACGGACACGAAGGTTTTGATCAGTTCCGGTGACATGTAGCGAACAGTTCCATGTATTTTTGTGACATCTTTCGTGCGTGTTAGACTACTCGTCATTACAACATCGATCATCCAGATCTCCAATGAGCATAGTATATGCTTTAGGTCGGCGCGGATGCGGTCGTACGAACGCATTTGCCGATTTCAGATCGCCATGTATAACGGTGTTATCATGAAGGTACGATAAACAGTTGGCAATCTGTTGTGCAAAACTTACCGCGGCTAGTAAAGACTCTTTTTCGGAGCGGTTTCCCAGACGTCAATTAGATGAGATACTCTGTAAATCCCCATCTAAAATAAATAATACAACAATGTCTGATTAGGTTCCAGACACCGCGCTTAAATTTCCCCATCACAGGGGACGCAGCTCAGATTATTGTGCTTTCATCATGGAAGTTTGATGCAGAATTCTTTTATAATTGAAACAGTACAGATATCTGAGATACATACTTCGTATAGCTTTACTTTTAAGCCGTTTGCTAATCTGTAACTTAAAGAATGCCAACAAATCAAGAATCCACTACGAACAACTGAACAGGGATAGAAATTTGTCTATCATGTAACCTCGAGTTAACAATACAAGCATGCAACCTGGTACTGTAGGCTTGTAGCTGATAGCAGCCTATTTCAGATTGCACGGTTTGTGTTAGTTTCGGCTCCGGTTCCATGTGGAACCTTCGGTTCCGGGTGGTTTTACGTCCGTTCGCGACGTTAGCGTAACCTCCGTCGTGCGGTGACGCGTAAAAACTATCTGCCTTACGCGGATGCTTGCAACGGCTCAGACACATGAGTGAATGGCAGGTCAGCTTATGCTGCCCGTGGACCTTTTTTTGAGCACTCAGACCGCCGAGCAGGGTGGTCATGTCCTCGCGGGCACTCGACTCGATTAATTTTTTGGTTGCTGTACGTGACCCAAGTGTAACCGCACAAAGACCTGAAGCAGTCTTCATCTTGCCAACGTACTGCTTGTGTGATGCCGTACTCTTCTATGTACGGAGCCTCTACCGTATGCAATCTGCAATAGGCTAGCGTAAAGGCTATACCTACCTGGAAAGAAATCCATTAGCAGCTCTATCGCTACGCCGGCGCATGATACTGAGAAGCTGATATTGAGGCACTGCATAGTAAGACGTTTGGTACTCGGACTTTTCTCAGCGAGAAATCGATTTTCAGCGATTTCACGAGGGAAATGTTTCTAAAAAAATTAAAAAAGTAGTTTTAAAAAAGTGCGAAAGCGTAATGTTGAAGTTTCTGTGTATTTTTCTATGTCAAGG